TGCGATGGAGTGCTCGTGAGACAGGCCGTGCGACGGATGGCATGGACACACAGACTGCGTGTGGGGAGCCGAGCCTCTAACTGAGCCTCCTTGTGCCCCCCGCAGTTACATGCTTCGGGTGCGAGCTGTGGTGATGACCCGAGACGACTCGAGCGGAGGATGGGTGCCCATGGGCGGGGGCGGCCTGAGCCACGTCATGATCGGCAAGGTCCGGCGCCCAGAGGAGGGCGGGCGGCGGCGCCAATACCTGATCTGCGGGGAGCGCCTGCGCGACCAGACCGTAAGCCTGACTCCTGGGGAGAGGTTGGATGGGGGGGGCAGCTTGTGGGGGGGCCTCCCACCCACCCCTAATCTCCCCCTCTCCATTGCAGACCATCCTGGAGTGCGTGCTGAAGAAGGACCTCGTCTACAACAAGGTGAACCCCATCTTCCACCACTGGAAAGTCGGCGACAGCAAGTTCGGCCTGACCTTCCAGAGCCCCGCCGATGCCGCAGCCTTCGAGCGGAGCGTGCAGGCCGCCCTGGAGGAGCTCGCCGAAGGTGGGGCACCAGCGCCCCGGGACTGCAGAGATTCAGGGGGCGAGGGTTTGGCCTGCTGCCCCCAGGGGGGTGCGGGGCCCAGGGATTGTGAGAGATGCAGGGGGTGTGAGGCCGGCCGGCTGCTCCATGGGTGTTGCTGGCTGGGGTCCTGAGCCTGTCTGGTTCCCCCTTGGGGGTTCTGGTCTGGGGGGCTTTAGGGAGGGACTGATGGGAGATGTGGGTGCTTGTTGGTGGCATGGGTCTGCCTGTTGCCCCCCCCATTAGCAGCTGTTGGTTGGGGGGGCGCAGACAGCTCCCCCCCCAGGGGCGTTGGTCAGAACCAAGCGAACCCTGATGCTGGAAGCGACCTGAGTTCACCTTAGCATGGCCCTGTGGCTAAGACAGCCGGCTGCAGGGAAGCAGACGTGGGGTCGGTTCCCAGCTCAGCCACCGACTCTACCTGCGTGACCTCAGGCGTGTCTCTCTCGGCCTCGGTTTCCCCCATCTGTGCCATGGAGATATGAACCCTCTGCGGCCGGCCAGAGGGGGTGGGGGTGGGGAGGCTGTTGGTGTTCGGGAGGCTCCCATATCCCAGTGCCGTCCCTGCCCCTCGGTGGATGGCATTCCATGTCGGAGCAGCCAGGGGAGAGAGGGAGGGAGCCAAATCTGGAGCTCTGGGAGTCCCTGGATTCCCAGCCGGAGGTCCCAGCACTGCAGGAGAACACTGTCTTCCCAACCCTCCCTGCCTAGGCACTGCTGTCATGGCCTCGCCATGGGAGCCCCCCTCCCTCTATCTCACCCCGCCGTCCCTTGGTCCCCCTCTGTCAGGTCAATTCCCTAGAGAGCTCCCAGCGATCTAAAGGCCTGGGCACTGCACCGGAGCCTGGCTCCTTATGCCCCCTCCGTGGTCTGGGGGTTATTCTTAACTCCTCCCTCTCCTTTGCCCCCATCACTGATTCCTGCCTGTCTTCCCCCCCGCGCGCCCGATCCAGTCTCTGCTCCCCATCCTCTCTCCTGGCTGGGGGCTGCTTCGTTCTCCTCTCTGGCACGCTGCCCCCCTCCGATCCGTGCTGCCGGGCCTGGGAGTGTCCTTTTCCCCCGACCGCTCCGGCGTGTCCCCCCCTCCCCATCCACTTGCACGTCAGATTTTAAATCTCCCGGTGCTGCATCACTCCACCCGTCTCTGCCAGTCCTCCCTTCACGTCACCCCTCGGCGGTGCCAGCATTCACACCATTCACACTCAGCCCCCTCCCCGCCGGCCCCCTACACATAGTACGGCCTCCCCTCACTCCTCTGCAAAGCACGCCTGCCCCTAAACCCCATCTGGTTTCTGCAGCCCGGAACACAGTGAGCGCTGCTACAGGGCTTACCGGCTATTTAAAGGGACACTACCCTGCACTGGCCCACTGCTGCTATGCCACCTCAAGCAAACTGATCCACGTAGAAGACCCCCTTTGCATTTCCTCCCTCCCGCTTGCCTGCCCCTGGGATGGAACCATCCCTTCTGCTCTGCCTGGAGAGCGCCTGGCACACCCCACACCCCCCGTGGGGATCGAACCCAGGAACTCTGGAGCTAAAAGCACAAGGGTCAGCTGCCTGAGCGAATGATCCCCAGCCTACCTTAGTGCTACGATTCAGAAACCGCTATACGTGCCGTAGCCACTGGAGGGAGACAGATAGCGCCCGTATATGTTTATGTGTCACCCCCACACAGGGGTCCAGGGCTCGGCCCCAGACATCCCCTTTTCTTTTGAGGCGTCGCTCCAGCTGCAAAGCTTTAGTGCCCTCAGGTCCCCGCGGGGTGGGTGGGGATGGAGCACCAGGCACTGGGCCTGCTTGAGGCAACGGGGGTGCCCTTATGTCCCTCCCCCCTGGGATCCCAGCCCCGGGGTCCTACCTGGACAGACCCCAACACAGGTCCTTTGCATTCCCAGCACTGAATGCTTTTTCCCAGCTCTGCCCCCAGTAACCGGACGCCTTACTGGGCCCGCGTCCTTCCTGGGGGGGACTGACTTTCATGTACCTTCCTCTGTTTTCCCTTCCCAGGTTCTCTCTCCTCCTCCTCCTCCTCCTCCTCGTCTCAGGATGACGCCGACGGGACGGACGACGCAGGGTTGGTAAGTTGAGCACTGGGCAGAAGTACCTTCTGGGAGAGAACCTCCTGGATGCTGAAGGGTTCCTTGGTCTGGCGGACAGAGGCAGAACCAACGGCTGGAAGTGAAAGCCAGGCCCATTCCAGGGCGTAACGGGGCGCAGTGCAGGTCAGACTAGATGATCTAATGATCTCTTATTATAATCGGCCGAACACGAGCTTCTGGTGCGACGTTGCAGCCCAAAAAGCGAACGCCATCCTGGGATGCATCAACGGGAATCTCCGATAGGAGCAGAGAGGTTCTTTCCCCTCTGTATTTGGCACTAGTGCAACCACTGCTGGGATCCTGCCTCCAGTTTTGGTGCCCACAACACAAGAAGGATGTTGATAAATGAGAGAGGGATCAGAGAAGAGCCAGGAGTGAGATCAAAGGATTAGAAAATCTGCCTGATATTGATAGACTCCAGGAGTTCAATCTGCTTAATTTATCAAAGAGAAGGTGAAGTCTATAAGTACCTGCATGGGAACAAATATTTAATAATCGGCTCTTCAGTCTAGCAGAGGAAGGTCGAATACAACCCAGTGGTTGGAAGCTGACGTTAGACAAATTCAGACTGGAAATAAGGTGTACATTTATAAGGATGAGAGGAATTAATCACTGGAACAATTTCCCAAGGGGTTGTGGTGGATTCTCCATCACTGACCAATTTTAAATCAATCTGGGATGTGTTTCTAAAAGATCTGCTCCGGGAATTATTTTGGGGCCGTTCTCTGGGTTGTGCTATCCAGCAGCTCAAACTAGATGATCTAGATAAACTTCTGGCCTTGAAATCTACACATTATTTCTAGCAGCTGAAAGCCCTCGCTGTCAAAGTGACGGAGAACTTCAAAGTGAGATGGTCACAGACCCCGTGTCCCACGGATGATTGGACCTGGTGATCTTCTGAACAAAAAGCGCTCTCAGCCGGGCTTGAGGCTGTTCCCATCACTTCACATTGACTCAACAGACACTTTAGTCTTGCGTGACGATCCTGTAATAAACATGATTAATAATCTATAGAATAAGATTCCAACAGGGTTTTAGGGCCAGCCAGAAAAGCAGCCCATTCGTTAGGTGCTGTACAAACATACAGAGCCCACAATCTAAATAAGTGAGACAGGCCTTAAAATCTGTGAAAGTCCTTCGTGATGCCATTCTGCTCCGGGAAACTTCCTGTCTGATTCCATGTTTTCCCCTGCCCAGGGTGGGGTGTGAGTACCAGCTGGGAGCAGATGTTGTGAATTTCCATTGTCCCCATTCCCACAAGGAGGTGTGGGGGGGGGGTCCCAGAGAGAGCAGGGAACATAGGGACCCAAGCCGGGGGACAACTGGCCCAAGAGGGAGATGTTGGCTGATAAAGGTCTGGACTAGTGCTAGGAAAAACAGACCCCTTCCCAGCTTGACCAGCGGTCTCCCTACACTGGGATCATGGCAGGCCGTGCATGCCAAGCAGCACGTGGCATGGTCAGTGTTTAGAAAGGAGACCTCTGAGGAACAGCTGGGTGCTGCAGGCAGCAGGGTGGGGGCGCTCTCCTCTCCCGGTCAGTGCTGGCCCCGATGCGGTGCTAGGGGGCACTGGGCTGCAGGGTGGGGGCTCAGTAGGGGGCGCTCTGCCCGCAGAGTCAGTGCTGACCCCTGTGCAGCACTAGGGGGCGCTGCGCCATGGGGCACTTGTTTCTCAATGACAGCCGCCGCCTTTGTCCCCAGATGCACACGGACAGCGAATCCTCCTCGAACAGCCGGAAGGAAATGCTCCCCAAACACATCACCATTGTGACTAGCGAGTCCTCCTCCAGCTGCTACATCCGCTCGCCCGCCTCCGAGGAGTTTGCCTTCAGCACGGCCCAGGGGTCGACGCCAACCAGCCAGGGAGGGCAGGTGGGTCTGGGCGGGGAGGGGCAGGGGTCCGTGGCCCTGGGCGCGATGGGGACGGGCGCTGCGTAGCCCGAGGAAAGAGATGGATAGAGAGAGAAACTCTTCTGCGGGGGAGAGTGATCTTTAACAGAGAGCACTTTTTTCCCACCTGTTTGTAGAGTGTCTGAGTTAAGCAGGGTTAATAAAATCTCTGGTATCTGGGGGTCTTTGTTGTGCACAGGGAGGATGGGCTTGGGGTTAGCGCGCTGAGCTGGGGCTCTGCCGCAGAATCACCTATGTGAGATGGGCTGTGTCATCACTCCATGCCTCAGTTTCCCCAGGGTGACATGGGAGTAATAATCCTTTCTCTCTCCAACCCTTTGTCGATTAAGACTGGGAGTTCTTCAGGGTAGAGGTAGTCTCTCACTCTGTGTGTCTGCAGTGCCTGGGACAACGGGGCCCTGATCTCGGTCGGGGTCTGGGCAGCGCCCGGCACAACGGGGCCCTGATCTCGATCTGCTGCTCTAAGCTTTGAGAGTTGGTCTGCACCCTCTGCATGGTGCAGGGATCTGTTCCCTACGGATAGGGGCCCCCAAGTTCCAGGGCACAGGGAGGGGATGTGATGGGCAGCTGGGCTGTTGGCAACGCCCTTGGCTTGGTGGACTGGGGCTGCAGCAGAGGGCTTCTGCCCAGGGCCTGAGGACGTTTCCTTTTCTTCTGCCAGCTCTCAGATTATGGGAGTGGGATCTTTGGGTTACAGCATCTGGACTCCTAGGTTCTGTTCCCAGCACTAGAAGGGCAGTGGGGTCTGGTGGCTAGAGCAGGTCAGGGAGGCTGGGAGCCAGGACTCCTGGGTTCTGTTTCCAAGAGCCCTGTACTGCTGGCTCCAGAGTTGGTCCTTCGGTTCCCGGCCTCAGTGACGTCCTGCTGTGGCGAGTCCCACAGGTTAACGAGGCTGAGGCGGGAGAACGGTGCAGGCTATACCTCTGTCCTATGTCTCCCCCTGCCCCAGGTGCAGACCCAGCCCCTGCAGCACGTGACCCTGCACGACGAGGAGGAGCTGGAGAGCATCAACCCGTGCAAGGACCTGTGGGTGAGCAAGGGATATGAGGACTACAGGCGGGCGGCGGTGCAGAAGCGGGAAGCCGACCCCGACAAGGTCGGCATGTGCGTGCACTTCGAGAAGGGCAGCAAGGAGCGCCGCTTCCCGGCAGCGGGGGGAGGCGGCGGAGGCGTCGAGGGCCGCCTCAGAGACCCCAAGGGTTCCCCGTCCTGCCGGATCCACGCCGCCCCTTCGCCCCCCAAGCAGAAGCACGCCAAGGAGCCGGGGGCCAGCGGCGGGGCGGGCTCGGAGGAAGACGCCGTGCCCTCCCGCTGCGTCTATTGCCGGGACGTCTTTAACCACGAGGAGAACGGGCGGGGCCAGTGCCAGGACGCGCCGGACCCCATCGGGCGCTGCGTCTACCAGCTCACCTGCATGTGGTGTGCCGAGAGCATGCTCTACCACTGCATGTCGGACTCGGAGGGCGAGTACTCGGACCCTTGCTCCTGCGACCTGGGACACCCGCACTTCTGCGTCCGCTGGATGGCGCTGGTGGCTCTCTCCCTCGTCGTGCCTTGCATGTGCTGCTACCTGCCGCTCCGCGCCTGCCACTGGTGCGGGGAGCACTGCGGCTGCTGTGGTGGGAAACACAAGGCCGTGCGGTGAAGCCGGCCGGCGTGCGGCGCTCTTCTTGGCTTGGCTGGGGGGGAAGAGAGGCGAGGAGATGGAGGCAGAGTCTTAAGCGGCGGCAGGGGGGCTGATTTCCCCCTTCTCTTGCACGCCCCACCCCCCGTGTCCCGTGTTTGGAGGGGGAGGAGCTAGGCGGTTTTATTCCGAGTGTCGGGCGTGGCCGGTGAGTTTCATTATTTTTTTTTTCCTTTAAAATTTCAACATTTTGGGTCCTTTTTTTTATAAAAAAATAAAGAAATGAAAAAGAAATGAAAGAAAAAGAAAACAAACAAAATGAACCAACGACAGTCTCAGGAGAGATAGGTAGATGGTCATGGGGGGGCAGTTTTACCCTCTCCCTTCCTCCTAGCTGAGGGGGGGGCCACAAAGAAAATTTAACCCCTCCTTCACCCAATCCAGCTGTGTCCACACACCTGTTTGTATGTGTGTGTGTGGGGGGGGGAACCAATAGACTATGTAACCCCCTCCTTCCTTTACCCAGCCTGGCTGAGTCACAGGGATTTCTTTTCAATTTTAAAAAAGGAATACAAAGAACAACAGAAGGAAAGAAAATATCGTAAATGGATACTCGTTGGATTTTTATTTTGTACTCAGGAGGGAGTCCAGGGAGCAAGAGAAACTAAGTTGTGCTGAAAATGCCCATATTTAAAAAAACAAAAAAAAACCCCTTCCCTGCTGTATTATATAGTAAACTGCATGGGGAGAAGTTTGTTAACTTGTGGAACTGCCCGCAACATGATTTTTCCACCGGAGCACGGTCCGAGATTCTGCAGCTTTATAACTGCACAATACTGAGGTGTCCTTTTAACAAGGACAACAGGCAGACAGGGTTCGATTTACAGGGTACACAAGCTGCAGCATCCCTCCAATTTTTGTCCCCCATGCTCACCCCCAAATACAGTTCCCGTGGTTTATTTCTGGGTCCTTTGAAGTGTTTGGTGGGCTACAATTTCCAGGGAAGTTAGGGAAGGGTTTTCTGCAGCTCCCCATGTGACACCCCCTTCCCCGGTCATGTCTGGCACCAGTGGCAGGGCAGAGTATACCTAGATCATAGCTTCTTAAGCCCAGGGTCGCGCCTGGCCTCCCTGTCATTGGGGCAGGACGGGAAGGGGAGTCAGATCCTGAAACTGTTATTTACAAGCTGTTGTAACGTGGGGTCGTGGTGCTGGCCCAGGTCCAAAGCAAATGGGAGCCGTGCGGCCACTGCTCTCTCTCTCTTTGTACTAAACCCATTTGGGATGTCTTAGCTTATTACTGCCTAGAGTTCGGGGTGGAAGAAGTACTGGACTTGGGAGTCAGGACTCCTGGGTTCTCTTCCCAAATCGGAGAGAGGGTATGATCTAGTGGGTTAGAGCAGGGGGGCTGGAAGCCAGGACGCCTGGGTTCTATTCCCAATTCTGGTAATGGGGGGGCAGGATGATCTAGTGGATTAGATCTGTGGGCCTGGGAGTCTGGACTCCTGGATTCTCTTCTCTGTGTTGGGTGGGGAGTGGGGTCTAGTGGTTAGAGCAAAGGACTGGGAGTCAGGACTCCTGGGTTCTGTTCCCAGCTCTGCAACTGTCTTGCTCTATAACCTTGGGCAGGTCACTTAATCCTGATGTCCCTCTAGTCTCATACCATTCCTCCACCTCCCTGTTTGCGCTGCCTAGCAGTGAAGTATCATTATCAAGCCTCCCTGAGGGACGGGACAGGAGCCCTCTTGAGACATTTAAGACTAGGCCATGCAAAGCCGCAGGGTGTGGTCTCCAGGGGCTGACCCTGCCCTGGGACCCAGTGAGTGTGGAGCAGAGGGGCCGATCTCTCCAAATCCAGTGGGGGTGAAGCAGAGCTGCCTGAAAGTACTTTGATCTCTGGCCCGGGGCCCCACAATCAGCGGGAGGGGAGGGGAAAGCAAAGAAAATCCAGGACCAGAAACCAGTGGGACCCTCGGAGCCTTACCCCAGCTGAGTCATTACCCTCCCCCCCACCCCATGCTGGCTGTTCGGGGCCCCCTGTGTGACACGAGTTTGATGGAGCTCAGCCCACCTCCCACCGGGACGAGGCATCAGCCTTCCCACTGGGCACAACAAGCCCCACCTCTTATTTATTTACTTTTCTCATTTTCCCCTAAGTCGGACAACTGATTTGGGGAGGGGGCGGGGGGGCGGTCCCTGCAGCGCACAGTGGGGCAGAAAACCAGTCTGATGTGGGGGCAGGTTGGGACCCTCCACATCTGCTAGCACAGATTCTCCTCTCGCTTAAATCGGGAGTCACACTAGTTCAGATCAGTGGAGTTACAGTGGTGTAAGTCAGGAGTATCTGGATCAATGGCATTGCCCCAGTGTAAATCCGGAGTGATTCCATTTAGATCAGTGGCGCTACAGTGGTATAAACGAGGGATAACTCTGGATCAGTGTTGTCTGCTGGTGTGAATCAGGAGTAACCACAGAAAGGCAGCAAATTGAGGCTGGGCTATTTCTAAGGGAATGGGGTGCCTGATACAATGGGAGCCTGGCACCTAAATCCCTTCAGCTCCTTTGAAAATTCCCAGCCTTAAAACCAATACATGGACGTATTTATTTTACCTACTGCACAGTTAGCCTGGGGAACTCAATGCCACAAGTTCTCTGAGGCCAAAGTTTAACATCCTTCAAAAAAACGACTGGATGTTTATACAGATAACTATACCCAGCATTAGAATATTAAATATCTTTAAAAGAACCAAGCGTTTTGGCAGGGCTATAAAACCTCATGCTATAGGGCATGACTCAACCTCTGACTTTCAGACCCTAGGGGCCAGCTATGCCATAATTACCCGTAGGGGGCACCTCTTTCTGAATCAGCTATTTATTGGCCTCTATTGGAGACAAGAGAATGAACTAGAAAGACGCTTGGTTTGACCCGACTGTCCATGTGACCCAATAGAGTGACCCTAGTTTTACCCCAATGTAAACAAGATTGGGGCTTGGCCTGGCAGGATTTGAGAGTGTTCAATAGCACACTGGGTCCTATTCCCATTTCTCCATCCTTGTTCTTTTTTTCAAAACCTTCCCAAAAAACGAAACAAGACAAATCGTAACTGTATAAAACCTGGCAAAGCTGTGTGTGCCAATAACCCGATGATAACCTTGGGGCCGATACAGCAGGGAGCCTACCAAAATACAGAAGGGTGTATATTACTGCTGGAATGAGATTCTTTTAATGCTATTTTATATATAAAAAATTGCGGAGGGGGGCAGAGAGAGAAAAACCCAACCAAACAAAGAAAAAAAGTTAATATTAAAATAATAATAATTTTTTTGTGGTTGCCAATCTAACTTTTTTCCTTGTTTAAGTATTTTATCAGATTTGTATATTCAATATTGTAATTTCTGTGTATTTAAAAAAAATTAAAAAGGGGGGAATGGAATCAGAGAAGAATGTTCTATTTAAAAGTGTATGTTGTATATTAAATCTTAGCAAAAGTGACTCTTAAATGTTTTCCCCTCCTTCTGTGGTGGGGTTTGGAGGTGCTGGTTCGAGCTGCCTAGATTTATAGGGCCAGAAAGGGATCGTTCTGATCAGCTAGAGCCAGATTCAAGAGATACAAATAGTTTTCAGACACTGAAATGTCTGAGTCACACACAGCCCAAAGTGTCAAATGTTTTATTGCAACACCAACAGGAGATAAGATGTTTCAAGCAAGGCTAAGTTGCAGCTGCTCTTAATGATTTTAAAACTAGAGTAAAATAAAAATAATGGAATATTTCTGCTATTGGTATATATTATGATTATATCTCTTAGGACACATCAGCAGGAGATAGCATATTATGACAAAGGCCCTTTGTTTTCAGGTTTTATTCTGTTTAAAATTTCCTGGGAATTTATAGGTGTTTATGACAGAAATTAAACGGTGCAAAAAATTAACTTCACACTTTTCTGGGTAAATATCGGAGTGAATAGGGGGATGGAGGACGGAAAAAAAGCAACAACCAGAGAAGAGTATTGAAAGTGAAAGCAGTTTAATACCATGGTTTATTTCATGAACTGTACATTAACAGTAAATACATATATGCATGTGTGTGTATCTTCCTCTCCACCGCCTTACTTAGACAGACAGCCTTGCATGTACACTTCAACTAATTTGTTTTTAACATCAATACATCTACCGGCTGTAATGGGTTGGATTTGCTTAACGTAATCAGTATTTTCATGTACTTGAGCGGTCTAAACTTTGGGTGAAAAAATCAGTAAAAACTGCATAATAGCTTTTGTAAAAGCTGGGGATTTGTTGGTTAAAAACCAAAAACGAAGGGCCTTCATTATGATATATTGTAATAATAAAAATAATCTTGAAATGGAAAAGAATATTTCAAAATGAAATTTAAAGGGGCCAAATGAAAATTCCCAAACTGTTTTTTCTTGTTTCCCAGAGCTCTGTGAAAATGTTTGTTTTTCTAACTGGGAATGAAACCAAATTTGAAATGTCAACATTTCCCACCCAATGGAAATTTTGAGTTCCGGTCAGTTCTCATTGGGAGAATTGCTGCTACTTTATACCTCTAGCAACTTCCTCTCTACGCAGTGGGTACCAGGAGACTTGGGCTCTGTTCCCAAGTCTGCAGCTGGCCTGCTGGGTAGCCTTGGGAAAGCCACTTGCCTCGTTGTGCCTCAGTTTCCCCCCTCTATAAAATGGGGATAATGGTACTGCCCTCTTTTTGTAAAGTGCTTTGAGATCTCCAGATGAAAAGAGCTAGAGATTAGCAGGGAGAAGGAATCCAGGGGCTCGACCGCTGTGGCCAAAGAGCTGGGGCAACGCTTTGTCAACACTGCTGCTACCTGGTGTTTTTCCTCAAGTCCCCGCTCCTGGAGTCACGACACTCTCCTGAAATACTGGCTTTCGTTTTTAACAGGAAGACCTTTCCAGGCCTGGTGGTGGTGAGAAGAAGCTGCAATACATGGCCCAAATGAGCCCCTACTGGATTGGAAAGCAGACAGCCCAAAGTGCAATAAAACAACCCCAAAACGAGGGGGTGAGGGTGTTTGGGTTTAAAAAAGTCTCCCGATTGGCTTGGGGGGGAAAAAACAAAACTCCTGCTGTCAGGAGCCGGCTTGTAGGTTCTGAGCCCCTGGCGCTGGCCCCGGTGTGGTTTCACCAGCATGGCAGGTAGGTTGCTGCCCCTGGCAGGGGGGCCCAGCCTGTGGTGACGGTGGACGCTGCGGGGAGGTGGAAGGGGCCGCGTGGCCAGCACAAAACCAGCAGCGTCTCTGGCGACGATGAAGGAGGAAGAGGCTCTCGGCTTGGCTCCGAGGCAGGCGGCGGAGGAAGGAAAGACTCTGGTTGAGAGGCAGGTTAGATGGGAAGAGGAGGCTCTGATTGGCTGGGAGGCAGGTTATATGGGGGGACAGAGGCTCTGATTGGCTGGGAGGCGGGTTATATGGGAAGAGGAGGCCCTGATTGGCTGGGAGGCGGGTTATATGGGAAGAGGGGTCTCTAATTGGCTGGGAGGCTGGTTATATG